TGCGGACCACCAGATGATCAAAATATTGTGTCCTCATCCTCATCCTCATCCTCATCATCATCACCATCATCACCATCACCGTCATCGTCAAGATAAAAGCCACATGTCGTCTCCTCTTCAGTCAATCAGCATCTCTCTTCCTGCTGACTTTCGTGTTTGCTCAGGCACGCTCCACCTTTGGCAAAGAGATTCCAATAGCATTTCCACAGAGAAGGTGTTCCGTCCGAAGGCCCCCGGCTCTGGGGTGACACAGCAGGAGCGTTGCTGAGGTCTTTTACGCCACATCGCAGTGAAAGAAGGATAGAAGTATCCTAAAGGCGTCCAACACTTTTACTTCCCTGCGGTTTGTTGTTATGACAGCACCAGCAAGGTAGTCTGCAGTATATGGCAGTAGGTTCTCCACCCACCATAGACCACCTTCCAAATAAATGTAACGTTGCTCCGCAGGCGAATACATTCTCTGGCTGCAGTGCATGTGCGAATTCCTCGACGAAGAAAGCCGCTGAAGGGCTTCGTTGCTATTTTTCCCACGCATGCTGGAAGAAAAGGAGTGACAGAGTGTGATCTTACAAGACTACTCATGAAAGCAATGCGCCCCACCAATGCACCAATGCCTCTAAATCACTTACCTAGTTTGCGTGACCATCTACTCACTGTTCCTCGATCTCGATCACCGCAAAACTGCCCTGGCAAAAACCCACAACGAAACATTCGCGCCATGACCCGAAGGCACTTCACCTCACTGCAAATCTCCCAACTCTCCGCAGGCTTCCTTGGCTCAACGCTTAAATTAGGCCAACCCCGCACCGGCCGTGTTTCGCGCGCGTTGCCACGTGTGGCGCGTCTGGCTTCCTGCGCGTCCGAACGGTGCGGTTCCGTGATGCGCCGGAGATGGGCGACACTGACGCCTCTGCTGGCGATATGCATCAACTCGGCCTGCTCGGCCCGACTGGAAGACGACTATGTGGAGTCACAGTGGCCATCGGTGAAAGTGGTCATCAACTCAAACATGAAGTACCAGGTTCGAATCGCTGAAAAGGAAAGGACAAAACACATGAAAAAGGAAGACTCTGTAGATATATATAGAGCTCGGGTGCAGAAGAAATCTAAGAAGTGATGGGATACAGTCTCAACATCCAAAGTATCTCTGGATACTTCTGGTGTTTTTGACTCAATCAATACTGCAAACGTGGATGCTGGACCTGGTTTCAGGTGCCATTGAACATCCTCCTGGACACCATGAAAGCATTTAGATTTGAGAATTTCACGGATGTGATCATCGTCGTTGGAGGAGCAGCTGCTTGCTTAGCATATGGCCGCTTTCAGCTCAGTGCTTTCAGCTCTTTTGGAGCGGTTTCGGCTCTGGATCGCCTGTTTAAACCTCCTTATGCTGGTCAGCAAGTAGAGCAACCTTATGCTCAAAACCAAACACCCTTTCACATGCTCACCCTGTCATCATTTCAGCGGTTGATGCCTACGAATCATGGAACACGTCGACCTTTTCACACACAGCACGTCAATGCAAAACAGCACGCTCGACGGCGCTCGCAAGCTCGAGGATGTGGACCGGATATACACGGATCACGACATGACCTACATCGAGACTCCTTACATGAATTATGACTTGACTGGCCTGGCCATACTGGGACGCTACAAGGATCATCCCTCGGTCCAGGCAAACAGCTATCTATACCTCTTGGACACGACCACCGTAGGTGCTGGCTTTCTGGAGAAGTTCAAAGCTCTCAGCAGCATGGGCTACAAGGAGCGCCAGACAGCTCTGGGGCCTCTGGGACGGCTGGAAAGGGATTTCATCGAGAAAGGACATGAAAGAACACAAACGGCATCTCAGTCTCAAAGGCATTTTTACAGCAGGGATTGGATTTGCCACTCCTCTTGTGCATTCCTGGAAGAAACACTTCCTGAAGTGGTGAAGTTGTCAATTACATCTTCACCATAATCAGTAAGTTCATGTCATTTCTTCTTAAAACTGATATCTTATCACCCCAGACAACGTCAGATTTCACTCAGGATCACCAACACCACCACCAACACCGTTGCCATCGATACCACCGGTGGCACCCTCTCTCTCTCTCTCTCTTGCTTCGCCAGGAATACCGCAGCGTGCGCCGCCCGGCCTCGAACATCTGCGCCTTCGGGCGGGGGTTGCTGGAGGCGTTGCCCGCGAACTTCGAGCCGAAACTCGAAAAGGTCGAAGGCGCGGAGGGCGGAGAGGACGAGTCTTCGCGCGGAGAGGGCATGAGTGGAGGGGAGAGGAGGGGGGGAGGGGAGAGGAGGGGGGGAAGGGAGAGTGGAAGGGTTTTTGGGGGTTGAAATGGGAGATGGCACAAAAAAAGGGAGGGAGATGGAGCGGAAGCTGAAAAAAGGTTAGCTCTTCCGGCTCTTCCAACGGAATTTGCCATTAGAAACTAGAGCAACTGGCTGATGGGGGGTTTCATGCGGTTTCCGTCATGGGAGGTTTCAGACTGGTGCCCATCAGCCGTGATCTTCTCCAAATATCCGGCTACTTTGGGATGATGTGCTCGTGCACTCATTCAGATGAACTGAGATTTTGGCCATTTTATAGTAAATGAACCGAACAAACTTGAAGAAAGCAAACGCATTCATTCTCCACGAAGCACTTCACTCTGCTCCAGAGTTGAGAACATGCCCCAAAGTGTGATCCCAAAAGTGTGATCCCTCCGGGTCCCTTGACATTTTCGCCTTCTGATTCGACCCGTGCGTCAGCTTCCCATGATCCACCCGAGCCGCGCCACCGACCCACTGGCGCCTGGAGGCCTCCGCTTCGAGTACGGCTTCGAGCCCAAGGCGGGCAGTTCACCGCCTCGGCTCGGTCGACTGACAATTTCATAAGATTAAGATCGAACCACAACAAGAAGGAAGAACAATTTGGACATCATGTCATTGGTTTGGCAAACCTTTTGTTCAATTTCAAGAGCTCTTGTCTGAGACGTAACTGATTTCGGCATGCCAACACAAAGCAGCAGCCTATGGTCAAAAGCAGCGCACGCACAAGCCATGAATGAACATCACCCAAGTAGAGACGTCAGAAAACTGAGACGGTTTCCCTCCACGTATCTTCTGGCCTGGCAAAGAGAAGGAAAAACACTGTCTCGGGGACCCCGCTGATCCGGATGATCCAACACAAAGCCTTTCTCGCCTCCCCGGTCGTCGCCTCCGCGCTGCTGCTGTCGCTTGAGGGCATCAAGCAGTTCGAAGACGTGGCCGACCAGGTGACGGTGTTGCGGGACCGCATCGAAGAAGGGGATCCCGTGGATATCTACAAGACGGGATATCCCAGGCACGTCTTCTGGTGACCTGGCTGAGCCGGAGCCCAGCTCTGAGCTTTTCAAGCTATACAGCTCATGGCCTTAGGGTATTGTGGCAAGAGTCACTGGTAGAAATCCAGCAACAGTTGTTGGTGGCTAGGTCCTAGGTCTTTGGAGCCATCAAGAATTGCCAATAGCAAAACAACATGAATGCCGAGCACGTGTGATTGTTGTGCTCGCTTGCTTGTGAATACTCTTGTTTGCTTGTTCATTCTTTCATTGGCCCTTGAAATAGCAGTTTGCAGAAAATTGTGTTTGGTTGGATTGTACATGGGTAGAACCGGTGGGTCACCCTTTCCCCAGACACCACCTGGAAGGGACACCAGTTGACAAGCCCTGCCTGCCAAGTGACACCGAGTCATTTTGAGGAGCGCGTTGAAACAGCTTTGCAGATACCGGCAACCCGAAAGTGATGCCGAGAACCAAGCACCAAGCACCACTCCCCCCGGATGCCAACGGATCTGATCTATAGAGGACTTCGGACTTCCCACATCGCTTCTTTTTTTTCAACTTTCTTTCCCAGGTATCCAGACTTCGGAGTCTACAAATACATTCTCATTGGAGGTTATGGCGACATGGATGGCCATGTGACACCCATGTGCCCTGGGCATCGAATCCGCGGGGAGTGGGATTGCATGGGTGTGCTGATGAGAGTGCTACGCAGGTCAGGTCGGACGTGAAGCGATGTTGTTCGTTTGCAAGGAAAAGCAGCAAGTAAATATCCAACCATATGCCGATCAAGCTCAAAAAACCCATATGCTGCATAGTAGATCAAGCTCACAGATTTCTTATTCCTTTTCTGACCACCTCAGAGTAAAGGAGACGTCATTTATGGGTCGAGACGCTGTGTGATGTTGATGTTGCTCCTTCTGGTCGATGGGAAGATTTGTTGCGGAAGAAGTTCGGTAGATGTTTGTAACATGTTTCAGGAGCGAAGCGTCTCACCGTACCGCCCGTCCGCCGTCCCCCGTCCGGGGCCCAGGATCCCGCCGCCGACGGTGAAGAACCCCCGGAAGCATCACAAGAAGCGACACCGGAAGCATCACCTGGACGACTGAGCGGTGGAAGTAGTAGATGAAGCAGAACATCACCATCTGAAGCCTTTGAGGTCATTTCTTTTTCATATCTATTTTTTAGATGTTGATGGAAAACATTGGCCAAACTACCTAATTATTTGGATTTGTGTCTTCCGAGCATTTGCGAACAGTTGATTTGAAATAGTTATATAATAACAACAATATTAAGCAGTATTTCTTTCTGTGTAGATCTCGGTGGTCGCCGTATCATTAAAAAACACAAGAAGAGTCTCTGATCACCTCTCGTTGTCTCAAGAGTCTCCAAAGAATGTTTTTTCATCTGGTGCATTCTGGGCATCCAGGCTCAAAGGGGGGTCTGGTGCCACTTGCATAAAGACTTCACCTTTGAAGCTCCAAATGGCTTCACGAACGCGTAGCGTAGCTCCCAAAACAGGGGCAATCCAACGCCCCAAGTCATGCGCGAATCCGTTCATTCGATCAGGAAAACGATCTCGCTACGAGCTGCGTCAGAAGACGCACCTGTCGGCTGCGAAGACGCACCTGTAGTCCGGAGTCGTCCGGAGTCGTAGACGGAGTCGTCGTTCGTTCGGAGTCGTCGTCCGTGTTGCGACAGGAAGCCGTCTCATCTGTGCGGCCACCCTTGCAGGCAGTAACAAGTGCATCGCTACGTTCGTAACAAGTGCCTTACTAGTAGTAACAAGAAGCGAACGTAGAAACAAGTGCATCGCTGCTAGTAACTCCTTGGGTGTTTTCCCATGTAATTCGCTTTCGCGGGTGCAAAACTCCTGGAGTCCAGTTTGGTTCCATGTGTTTTCTCCCGGATTGCGGCCAATGTTTAGAGTTTCGAGTTCCAAATGCATGAAAGCGGGAAAACTCAAACTTTTTGCCAGGTGATTCCGCCACCGTCTCAGTTGGGTTGAAGAGACCACACAGGTTCACTGTTGAAAATATCTTCTCTTCGTTCGATGTCTGGAGGATCAGGCAGTACAAACAACATGCCCGGTCTACAAGTCGCGTATTGGTTGCTGTCTTTCGCATGAATCTGGGAAGAAACGTCACGTCTTGTAGAGAAGTAGACAATCGGAAGCTATATGGCCTGTGAGGCCGTTTTCTCAACAGCAAATTGTCCGAAGAAGCATTCAATTGTAAATCACCATCATTGTTTAAAGTCCCAACACATTTGAAGGACCCATTTGGTGCATCTACATGCATTTACAAGTAGTTCGACTGTCGGAAGCGGCTGGACTGAGAATTGTCTTATGACGTCAGTGATTCCTACATCCACTCAAGTGGAAGAGAGGAGCAGAGGATGGCTGGCAGTTTGTAGCTTCTACTGGTTCTATTGGATGCGTTTCAGATTCACAGCTGCATTTAGGTGGATGAGCAGAATATAAACAATCAGCCAAGCTACTGATGCATGCCTTGTTCCTTGTTGTTCCTTGTTGCCGTATCCTTCTCGATGTTGCCTCCATAGACACGACAGCTGAACATTTGTCTCATTGGTAAGGCCGGGTGCAGCTCAAACCATGCTTCCGATGCCCATGCCAATGCCAATGCCTATGCCGACCATGATGTATCTCGGCTGAATCAGCAGCGTCACGGTACCTTAAAATGGTCTAAGCAACGAGTGCACTGGATGCTTGCAAAAGAGATGTTAAACTCAGAGCTAGGTTTTCTTGCAGGTGGAAGTTTTGAGGCATGAGGTACATGCAAATTGCAGCGGGAATCATTTGCTTCTTCGGCTTGCCAAACCAAACCAAAGCCACGCACAAACGCATTCCTTTGGACACCCACACGCACCAGCTTTTGTTCATCCCAGGCCAATGCTGTCAGGGATGCCTTTGATGCCACCCATGATGGGTCTGGGCCTCGATGCACTCTGCACTCCACGTCGATGGGCTAAAGCGCAAAAGAACGTGGGAAAGGGGATGGGGCGCATGGCAGCCATGGCGTGTGGTTTGATCTCTCCCGGAGAAACATAATATACAGACAGTCTAACATAATGATGTTGGACAGAAAATAGAGGCGCAAAGCGGCCTGGCAGCAATCCTTTGTTAGGGAGACCCTAACCGACCGTGCCAAGGTCTGCCTTTGCCAGCACCGCGACGTCCGTGACAGCGGAAAAAAGAGAAACGCAGATATATGGCACATGCATGGTTTCTTAGAAGAGAAGTGCACTCGAGAGGATCAAGCGGGGAATGTCTCCTGGTTACCGGTGGACACATTTGGAGAGGGTTCGACCAGGAGAAATTGTATAGCAAGTTATGAATTCCTTACTGATATTTTCTCTTGAATCTGTTACAACTGCTACTGCAACTGGACTTCCGAGTGTTCAAAGACCGGCCTTTGAATGGTACAGAAGGCGGACTTGAGAAGCAAATGTCATAGCTGCCATTCAGAAGCATTTGGCCTAGAGAAGAGGGAGGTTCAAACTGTTCATTTTGCCATAGCCAGCCTCTCTGCGAGAACCTGCAGGAGCAGCGATTTTGTGTTCTTTTTTGTCAAAGTTCAAGGAGCTGTCTGGTTTGTAAGCGCTTCATCCTTTTCCAGGAAGAATGAGCGCCGGTGCAGGCAGGACGGATAGACTTCTCCAATTGCTTCTCTAATCAACTGTCAATTGTGGAACACTTCTTTGGCAGAGTGTGAGGTGAAATGTTTGCTTCACCATTCTTGGGATGTCGGACTTTAAAGAAGTGTTGGGTTTCGAAAGCCTCGGGGGAAGCGACCAGACTTGTGGATCACTGGATGAACGTTAGCACAATCGTGCGAGCGCAAGCACGAGATCTGATTTGTGAGGCCACATTCCGGCTAAGCGGCTTAACGATGTCTTTTTCTGCAATTGGAGGGTGCTAGGTGGTCGATAAGTTCCATCCATTTCCAATTGAGCTGCCGAGGTGCAGAGGTTGATGGAGAAGGCGAGGGGCTAAGAATTGGTTCAGAACTCGTGAAAGGCTGGTCCAAGTCACTCAAGTTAGGATGCGGAATGGATTTGGAGTTCAGAACAGCAACTTCAGCATCTTCAGGTCTTGCATTTGTTTAGACATCCAGATCTGACTGCAGAGCGATCACCCACTCGTCCCCAAGCCGGGATTGGAACACTTTCGAATCAACTCACATCATCCGAGGCCGCTCCGCGCTGCACCTCGCCGCCCTCAACGGGGAGAAGGAGGAGGTGGATCGCCTTTTGGCTTCAGGAGCTGATATTGGAGCCACAGACAAGGAAGGCTGGGCGCCCCAGATCTCTGCGTGCGCAGTTCAGAACGTGAAAGATTGGAAAACGCTTTCCCCAAACTTAGTTGAAGAATGTCGACATGCTTTGGCAGCCGGAAAAGATGAGCCAGCAAAGCCAGAGTCAACCTTGCACAACCTTGAACAATTGGGAGCTGCATGAAGTTGGCTGATTTTGCAGTTTTGTGGTCCGAAGCGGGCCACCTCCACGTGGTCGACCGGCTCGCGGAAGCCAAGGCCGACTTGGAAGCGAAGGGTGGCGCATACCGCAGGGAGCCCCCAGAGGCTCGGAAGGTCGGAAGGTCGATCGTTTTCGGCCCGAAAAGGGTTGGGTCCGATGTTTGGAGCGGTGTCGACCATGGTAGACGCCACATGCCATTAACATCCATTAACAAGTGCTCATTATCCAAAGATCCAAACGACATCCAAAGATCCAAACGGATCAAGCGACTGACATTTCTAGCAATGCTTTTGAGCTCTATTTGCAGTGTATGCCATCTACATGTTCCACATTTCGGTAGTGAGGGGGTAGGTGGCATGGAAGTGGCCTAAACCACAAGAGGATGGCATAAATATCATGGGTTCCCTCCTCATGCCATTGTCTCGTTATCCCCTATAGCGATTAGCGATTTGGATGAGGTGTTGCATAGCTCTTTGCGCCACACCATGTTTCATGGAATTTGGCTTCCATCTCAAAAAGGTCGTTAGATGACTCCCCTTGCCCCTTTCACTATCTTTCACATCTGTGGATGGCGTGGGTTTCGGATTTGTTGTGTTTGATGAGTTCGTTGTTTTTGGTTCTGACAGGCCAGGGAACAAACTGATTTTGCATTTGGACATACTTGGACCACATTTAGACCACCAGCGGTAAATGACTACTGAACCAAGATTGAGACCAGGAACCCTGAGTGCGGTTTTCAGTATTGCAAATATTTCGACACAACGTTTCACTACACAAAGCATAAGACGGCTCATTGACTGGCTTGTTTCTAACAGAAACCGTCAAAAGGGGGTGTCAAAAGCAATTATATTTATTATATAGTTGAAGCTTGAGGCTAGATGATGCTCATTTCACTTGACGCATTCTTTCCTTCCCACTGGGAATGCACATTCGGCTTGCCATATGGCCTCTTTGCCTGAACTAATGCTCGTCATGGCTTCACAGACTGCTCAGGTCCAGGTGGGCCTGCTGAGTGGCCGAACTGTGCGCTGCAGCTTAGCTGCAAGTCAGTGGGGTGTCGCCAGCTCAGCTCTTAGATTGAACAAACTGACTGAGTTGTTTTAGAGTTTTCTGTGAGATATTGGGGATCTTGAAAATTTGCTTTTCAGACATGCCGGGTGCTGTTCAAAAACATACAAGCAGGTGGTAGGTGTCAACAGAAGGCCAAGTAAGCGAAGCTAACGAGATTGAGCATGTACTAACTCACATGGATGATATGTCCTGCAAGAAGTTACCAACCTCTTGCGATTTGCTCCAGATGTTGGACTTTGTGAGGTGACCCGGAGCCCAGCCGTACAGTGCGGACCTGCGCGAAGAAGCACAGTAGCTTTGAGGCAGCAAGTTGACATGAGTTGGCTCTGATGAGCTATGATGTGCGACACCTCTTGAGCTTGGTTCCTTGGGTGTATGTGATGATATCAATTATTATCAATCGCATTCGATGCAAACATGCTGAAATGCCACTGTGCATTGGCTCCAGTCTATGCCTTCCTACAATTGCAAACCTCATGTGCCTTGATTTGTTGATTTGGAATGTGGATGCGCTCCTGATCTCTTCAGCCAACTTCAAGGCCAGCTGAAACTAATAAATGTGCGCTTGAAAAACCAATGCAGCTGGTGAATGTCATGCTGGAGGGATGGTGTTGCAACGCTACGGTATAAGACTCTGTCACTCTTCTACATCATTGGTGTTGCAGAGGTTACACCGCGATGGTCATTTTTGGCCAAGGTCAAAGCTTGGGACTGGGATCAAGCAGCTCGTCACGAGCTCTGGGACTGTTTTGTGCTTCCCGCATGTTTTGATTTTTGAAAGTTTCGAGTTGAGCGGCTTCGGCAAAGTCTCACGGAACATAGACGCTTCTTTCGATTTGGGCAAAGGACGGTTAAAAAAAACCATTCAACGGAGCTGCATACCAAGATCACAATGTCCTCATGAAATTATGATATCTTTAGTCCCTGAGACCTGAGAAGTCTGTGATACCAAGGATTGTTGTTCGTTTACCTGGCTCGATTCTTTTTCCAAGAGATGCATCTTCCTTTTGGGGGCAGCAAATTGTCCTGCCAGGAAAGAACAGTTGTCTTTGCAAGAAGCTGGCATTGACTACACCAGTTTTGTGACCGCCATTGCTCCGGCCCAACAGCCTAGCAGAGTGAGACTGTCAGTGATTGACTCATGTTGGGTTGTGATATCAAAACATGTTCCTCACAGGCAGGAAAACCAGCATTGTGTCGCTGTGAGGTCACCGATGGTGAGGAGCGGCCGTATATGACGTCGGGGGAACAGTCGTTGCACATTTGGCTACGTGGTGGGGTTTGCATGAGAGGTCAATATCCTTACAGGCGCATGTATTGTTCTTTCTTCAGACCCAGAAGCACAGTTTCCATGGAATGTGTGCTGCTTGTGGTGACCTACAAACTCAAGGATTTGATATGTGGGACCTTTTGATTTCATGGTCTATTCAGGCCGCACAGATTTGTTGCCAGAACACCCATTCCTGGGTCGTCTTCCCCATGAAATCGCTCTGTTTGTTTGCCGAAACGCCAGGAAGTTAGCGCTTCAAGCAGCGCCGAAGCTTCAACGAAGCCTCGCTGCTTAAGAATGCGGATGACCTGCGTGTACATAGCATGCTCACAGTCATGCTCGCATGTTCCGTTCCTCCTGCGCGTTCTCATTTTTGTACCCCGTTGCCAGGAAACCGATAAAGACGACGAGTACAAGGACGCCGACCCTGCTCAACCCTATGAATTTTGTGCAGCAGGTTTTGATGCTTTCGAATTCTCCACGTGTAATGGATAGTCCAGAAGCAAATCGTTTGGGTCGGCAACATTTGGTGAGCATTTTCTGTCAGGAAGTGGAGTTTGCAGTTGGGATCACAATGGTAGCCACCACAGCTGTTTGGCGACAATACGAGCCAAAGGTCGACGTCTTGCAGGTCGAATCGTCATTGCCAGACACCATGGTGCCCATGGCGCCCGTACTGAAGCTTACGCCTGAAGGCGTGACCTTTCCAGCACCCATCATTCTGAGAATTCCAACATGCGCTGGAGCCAACAAAGTGTTTAGGTCCAATGACGATAGTGCCTGGGAAGAAATTCGCGAGGTGAAATTTGCTGAAGATTCCTGCGAAGTCCAGCTCTCCCACTTCTGTCAGGTGGCCATCACAGGAGATCCAAGACCTCTGAAAGCGCTTGGGTTCATCCCACAGTGAAGCTGGCCTTGCTCCATGTGGGCTGCAACAGGTGCAATGACGAACTAGCGTGGTACTTGCAAGATGCCCAGCTCTTGCAAGGCTATCAGCAATGTAGTGAGATTGAAGTGATTGGCCAGAATCATGCTGTAATCCTTTCACACTCGGGGACGCGTCTCCAAGAGCTTCAACTCCGCCTCTTCCAGCTATTTCCAGGGAATTTGGCCGGCAATCTGACGCAGCCTTTCAGGTCGACATTAATGATGGTCAGCGCGATTTTAAAGTGACCTATACTGCCGCCCCTGCTCCGACCAATGCAGGAGGATACGCAGCATCTCAATCGACCGCAAGTGGCTCAGCCAGTGCTCAGGCTGGAAACCCTCTTGAAACTGTCATGGAGTCAGCTTGATTGGGGGTGTGGCATGTTATGAATGAATGTGTTTGGTTTGATGGGGTTTACGCAAATTCTGATCATTTCTGATAGACCAGAACACATTTGCCTAAAATGGAGACCTGAAGCCTCACAACAGGTTGCTAGCTCCAGCAATCCGTCTCCCCAGTCGATTCAGCAGCACGTGATGCTGAGCGGGAGATTCAACGGAGATGACATCAAAGATTACATGAGGATTGCGCCTGAGCATTGATTCCAGCCAAATCTGTCTTTTTGTTCGTTTAAACTTGAGGCAAGCAGCAAATTGGGTCAACAAGTTTATCATAGTTTATCTATTTATGAGTTCGAGGGTATGAGACCTGCGAACAAGGTCAGAAGACGTCTTGAGGAGCTCCAAGTGACCACCTTTATGGTGGAAGCTGGAGGCGGTGGATAATTCGGAAGTTTGACCCTCATGGGTCTAGGCAGAGCGAAAGCCATGGTGGCTTTCTGCACCGAGGAATATGGCGCCCTGACTGGCGCTACCCGTTCGCAAGCTTTGAGAAGCTTTTGATATGTTACTATATGATGTTCTATGCCCCAATGGATGGATCTTTGCATTGGGGTTGGTTGGCAAGTGAAGTTCCTGTTCTGTTTTGCCTGTCTTTGGTGTCCCAACTTGCAAGTCAGGTTGGATATGAGACCTTCCGAGAACTGGAATTTGCACATCAACAAAATCTTCCGATAATCTTCCTCTTATTCCAGTTCGCTATCATCGAGTGTATCCGCCTCAACCTTCAGATTCTGAAATGGGCCGATACCAAAACCGATTCATTCTCAAACCAACTTTGGTGTACATCGCGGACGAGGAGATGCAGAAGCCCAGGGAGGTGGCCGACCAGATTGCCCAAGCTTTAGCCACCATGGGCCTCCACACACCACCAGGCGCCTAAGGCGTTCCGGGCACACCAGGTGCCACAGGCGCCCCAGCTCCACCGCCAACACTGCCACCAGCAGTGTCGCAGGCAGCTCCACCAGCAGTGCCGTTGGTTCCCCACGCCCCACCCGGAGCACCGACCCGACCCTCAGGACGAAGGCCGCGACCACCCGTGCAGCCCAGCCTGGAGTCCATGGATTGATGGCGGTCCGGCTGCGCAGGTCGTCCCGGGTCGATCCGAGGAGGAGGTCTCGATTCTTTGTTTTAGATGGACTAGAAAGGCCCAGACCAGCACAGACTCAGACCATGTGTTGCAGATTCCATGTGGTTCGAAAGACCACCCCTTGAGTCAAAAGAAGACAGCCCTTCGAGAAGTGACTGAGCGCTGACAAAGTCAGACATCGGTCACTGCACGAGACCAAAAGTGAGATGTTGCGAAAGAAGCTCATTGGATTGTCAACCAGATCCACCAAGCTGTATGATTGAAGAAGCAGCTGTTCTGCAGTGCCATAGGGCTTCGAAAGACCTAAGTTCAATAGACCCAGGTCTCCAAGCTGGTTTAGTTCTGTGTAGAGTTTGTGATCTTAGAAGGTCAATGAGAACGGCGGCTCGAGGACAGATCTTCGCCTGCGCATCATGATGTGAAACTGCTTGCGCATATATATACGTAGGTTCATGATCATGCTTTCTGGTGAGCCCCATCCCTCACGACCACTTGGTTGGGAAGTAGACACAACCAGGCCGCAACAACTGTAGCCACTGCGCCCCTTCAAGAAGAAGAAGAAGAAGAAGAAGAAGAAGAGTTGTTCGTTCTTCTCATCAGATCTTGGCAGAATGCTAACCTCCCAGCCTTTGACCTCGATGCAGCTCCACTGGAAGGCTGCAGATTTCGGGTCGTGCATGTGTTGGTGAGTGCTTGGCTTGGCAAAGAAACAACATGTCAAGATATCGGTCAGACATATTCAGACATACAAAGTTCTATAGTATGTATATAGATAGGTTTCACCTGAGCCATTCTTAGCCATGTGAGATGAGCTCAGAATCTTTTGGTCAACTTAACCCTTGTGCACCTACAACACGTTCGCGTGTTCAAGTTTTAGGCGTTTGCCCAACGCAGTAAATAAATGAAACACAGGACTTCACTTCCCCAATTTGTCGCCCTGAGCCGCAAAGATCGCCACATCGAAGGCAAAAGTTTGACCAACGGCCCGTGCATCCCACCCAGGTCCTTCTGCAATGGCTCCGGCCCAACCAGCCAACATTGCTGACACTTTGCCAAGACCAGATGGAAGATATTGCAAACGATCATCTCACATCTCCCTCATATAGTGATCCTCCATTGCAGCGTCACTCTCCCCCCCACTCGGCCACTTGTCCACTCGGCCATCTCGGCCTGTGAGGGGACTCCGTAAGGCAAATGCCTGGGAGAGTCCGGCATTTGAAGCAACCGTTTGCGGCCACCAAATTCTATAGTTCTTCCCATGGCCAGATTTTTGTCTGTCCGCCTCAACTGCAATCACGGCGAGGAGCCTTCCTCGCCACCGCTCTCTCCAGATGCAAAGTCTGGCTTGCATCTCAGACCGCAGGGCCGCAGTGTTTTCCTCCATCAGCTGACGAAACTGAAGTCGATCTTACTGTTGAGCCTGGAGTTCACAAGTACAGCGTGCCACACTCGTCGCAAGGGATTGAGGGCAAACACTTTGCTCTGCCTGCTGTTCTTGGAGAGCGTTGGAGATCTGGCCTGACGCGTCCTGTTGTAGCTGCTCCTGCTTCGATGTGGTTTCCACTGCCATTGGAATCGGAGTCGGCGTCGTCAGAGGAGAGGATGATATGAACTCCTCCACTGTGATTCGTCATCCAAGGATCCTTCTTCGAAGCCGGTAGCCGGACTGGCCTGCAATTTGTTGCATTTGGACAGATGCAATCACACTTGATCGATCTTGATCAACATTTGACGCCTGGGTGCAAAAGAGCGAAGGGTAATAGTGACCTCTCCATGATCCGTAGTGAACACCGCGTTCTGAACAGCAACCAGCCAAGCCAATGTGCATGGGCCTGGCCGCCCAACCTTTCCGAGTGTTGTGGATGCCACACGTTTCTCGATCAGAGGTTGAAGTGGCATGCAAGTCACATGACAAGATCATCACCATTTGTCGCCTTCGTGAACAGTTTGAAGTGAGGGTGAAAGCGGCCCATGAGGAGGAAGTATTCACTGCCTTGTTCCCTTCGAAGGTATTTGTGGATTGCCAACCCAAGGATGTCTATGTCTTGCTCCCC